CCCTGCTCCCCCTTTGGTCTATAAAAGGGAGGGCAGGGCACCCCACTAGGGGGACCGATCGATTTTCAGACAGAAGACGACGGATCAATTCCACACAGAACACACAGTCAAGCAACAACTGAGCTCTTGGCGTCCTTTCGACCTTTCCATCAGAGACTTGGGACCCGTCCCTCTCTCGACTGTTTGTACCCCCTACTACGAACCTTTTTCGGTACTAATAACACGAGCAACAGCGAACTGGACATAGGGACATTCTGCCCGAACCAGTATAAACCTTGTGTCCTTTAGTACACCATTCGAGCTTAACGCACAACAATTATAAATTTACTTGTCGGTGTTTGTTCGAAACACCGACACTAATGAACTACCCTGCTACAAAACTCTCTGTGTTTCCGTGGAGACAAGTTGTGTGTACTCCAAGGCTACCGATTCATACCAAGATTTGATTATTGAACATTTGAAAAATTGATTTGGCTGAGCATCAATTAGTCATTTTCGTGAAGCATCTTGTTTGACCACGCTCATCTTTTCCTCAAAAAATAGAAAAAAACCCATTCACCAAAACATCGAATATCGATTTTGAAGTACCGAAATAGGCAACTAGAGGGGGGAACTGTCCCAAACAACCCTCCAAAAACACTGAAACTCACAACGGTGGTGTCCTCAAGCCAACTGGTGGCTGGATGTTCTCGATTATGACCAACGAACATAGCGGAACACTCGCCACTGCAGAAAACCACTCACAACTTCGAAACACGAAAACGGAGCTCTCAACTTCAATTAAAGTGAAGTAAGAGTCTAAACCAAAATCATCCAAAGCAACTGGTGGTTTGATGACTTGGAAAAGTTCCTGGTCAGTACCAAAAACCCATGGAACAAGTGCAAATCAAGGAAACACTTCGGAATTGCTAGAGATCAATTATCAGCCTCCAGAACGCTGAACTTCAACGTACGGGCGCTGAAGTTCAGTGCAGCCTGTTTTCAGCAGCCCAAAAACTTTCTCCCAGAAGGCAAATCCACTCAAATCAATTCCGATTGAGATGAAATTGGGCAGCGAGGTAAAGATACATGTCAGGAAGATAATCCCAAAAGTTTGAAGACCAAAAGACTAAGGGAACTCCGTAGATCGGGAAATCTCCGGATCAGATCGATGGGGTTTTTCAAACTTTCCTCAAAATGCCCTAACTTTGACCACGTGAGGAATCTGGTCAAATCGACTTCCAGATTTGTTCCTCAAGGGTCTTAACTCGTGTCTCAACACCCGGATCAGTCCCAAGTTCTCTGGAAAACGAAATCACCCAAAATCCAAAGAAGGGGGTTCTGGAAGGTGAAAACTCAAAACTAAATCATCTTGCTAATCAAAACATTCCCACAAGATTCACCGACGATAGGGTCAAATTACACAGATGAAGGATTTTCTGCGGTGTCTAAATCATCTAGGGATCTCAACCGCAGACTAAGTGAAGGGAAAAACCTAACATAGAAGGAAACAAAAGAAAATGGAAGAGAAGGCTGGTTTGGGCAGCCTGTACCTTATTTATAGAGCTATTACACATTCCTAACAATGCTCTTAAATATTTAGCTGAACCACTTAACCCTAGAGGCATAATGGTCCAACTTGAGATAGAAGCATCCGATGGCCACGCACTCTTCACGACTTTGCTTCGCCTCGAAGTGAACTTCGCGATGACACCACGTGCTGCCTCTAGTTCCCGCCGGAACTCCAACTGGGTTTTGAGGCCCAAACCCGAAAACCGTCTAGGTAGTGGTTTTGAGGCCCAAACCACCAAGCCGCTTAGAGAAGCGTATCCGCTATGCCTCCTCCGCTCTCTCAACACGTGTCACTGTCGTCCTCGATCGCCCGATCACCAAGTCCTTCACGCTTCCGCTTGACTTGGTTAACTGTGTCCTCTTGACTTGGTCAACACGGTCAACTCCTCCTCATGTGCTCTTGCTTGTTGATGTCCCTAAGTGTCAGCCACCATGATCAGTCTTCCGACCATCTTGGTCCCTCGGTTCAAGTCTCACAACCGTCCTTCGCCACTCCCAGTCCATTGGCACAGTACATTTCTACTTGACCTTCTCCACGTCCGTCGATCGTCTTAGTGCTCCACACCTGCACACCAACACAGCCAAGAGACATGTTGCACACGCACTCATGCAATGGTTAGTCTCCAAACTCAACTAAAACCGATGATCTCCGACAATCACTCATCACAAACTCGACTCACAAGGGCACGCATCGACCTTATGTTCGTAGACTTGCAACGGTGTCATTAAGAGCCAAAGGATCAACTTACAGCTATCTCTATTCTCGAGTATTGACTCTTGATGAGAGAGTCTAGTGTTAGTGGCCTCATCCATCTAGCTCTAGCCACAGAGCTGCACAGTCATCTATACATTACCTAGTATTTCTGGTCATTTGCTTTCAGTATCGATGAACCACGAGCCTAGGTACAGACCGCACCAAAAACTTCAACGAGTGTCCCATTCCGGCTGCAATGCAAGTACAGAACTGGAGAGCTGTCGCATTTGAGGCCGGACATGCCGACGTTAAGCTCAAGCAGCGATAGCACGCGTGTGTGGAAAATCTGCAGTAACTGGTGAGATTCTCAGACCCAGGGTCTTCGTCGAAACAGCGGCCTAAGCTAAGATCGGTAAGGCGTGATAATGAATGATGCAGAGGACGTTGTGGATGTAACTGCGCCGTGAACGTATTTTGAAGGGTCCCCTTGAGCCTCAGCCACGAGAGCATCCAAACTCACTTCGCACTGTTACACATAAGACACACATTCATCCAGCTTGAGAAGTAATACTGTGTCCTGAACGTGTGTTTAATCCCCTTGAGCAGCTGAGCATCCGATTCACCTCACATTGCATATAGTAAAATTCATGACCGGTCCTCGAACTTGCCAGAGGATGTCACCTAGGTCCATGTACTTCTAAAATGCTATTTCCAGGTCATTTAACTTGGTTTTGGGTTTCATTTAGATCCAAACAAAAGTTAACCGGCTCTACATCCTGATGTGGCACGTTGATGTGAACTTGACGTATGGGCCCTACATGTCAGATCCACCTCTCCCTTCTGTTCATTGCCTTTGACACATGGGACCCATTTTTTCTTCTTCCTTTTTCTCTCTCCCTCTCCTCTCCCGTCCGTCTTTAGGCGTGGCTGCCGCAAGCGCCGTTGGCAGCCGCCGCGGGCACCGTGGGGGCGAGGCTGGCCACAGGTGGCTCCATCGCGGACGCCGCAGACACGGCGAGGCTGGCTGCAGTCCGCGAGGGAACCACCACGCGTGCTAAGCATCGGATCATGGCGACCAACGACGCACTGAGGTGGATCTGACATGTGGGGCCCACATGTTAGGTCCATGTCATCGTGCCACATTAGCATGTAAAGCCAGTTAACTCTCGTTTGGACCTAAATAAGACCAGAAACCAAGTTAAAGGACCTGAAAATAGTATTTTGGGAGTACAGGGACCCTGGTGACACCCTCTTCCAAGTTCGAGAACTGGTCGTGAATTTTACTTTATTCGTTAAACAAAACGACCTCATTCGGTCACAATAATTTGGATGAAAATTTTGAGAGTTACCTTTTATGTATTTTCATGATGGCGAAGATAGGTAGTTTTTTATATAAAATGAAATGTATTTAATTAATAGCTATTATTTACGGTGATGATGATTAGAGTTTACTAAATTAAAGTTAAAAAAATAAAAGTTATTATTGTGAGAACTTCTAGAATTTATTTACTTAACGTGTTTTGTGAGAATTAACACGTGGGCTTTGTTAGGACCTCTAATTAATAGTAATAGTAAGATAAAAAAAAAGTTCTATATTGACTCTTCAGAGAATATCCTAATATTTATCTCGTGCTCAAATGAGCCATTTTTTAGTAAAAAAAAGAACGGCACATTTCACCCCTCATAGAAGATCTGGTTGCTTTGATATTTCTCCATTCCTGCCGATACCATTTGCAAAGACCGTGTTAGGAACGGCATTACAAAACACTATTCTGTCCAGATCGGAATAAACTAGTTGACTTGACCCGTACCCCGTCAAAAAATAACCTATAAACCAATCATCCCCACACAATACATCCTGGAAGATTAAGCATCAGAAGGAACCAAATCCAGTTTGGAAACGAAAATCCAGCACCCTTAGAACATTCCACGAGCTATTTCTTGTCAGTATTGAAACCGCACGAGGCAGGTCGCACCTCTACACGGAATATCTCTGTCCGTTGAGTACTTTTCGGTTCCCGACAAATAACTTTAACAATATATATATTAAAAAAATATTAATATTAAACTTACGGCATAAAAATTAAAAACGATAGATAATCTGAGACAGAGGGAGTACATAGTATTCTTGATTCGAGGCAGGAAACACCTCGACAATCTCAGTCAGACTGCGATTTCAGCGAGGGGCAAGAGCGAGAAGATGGAAGGTGAAAAGTTGTAGGACTATAGAGTACTAGTAGTAACTGTCGAGGCTGACGGACCCAAGAGGCCAAGACAAGAGTCTTCCCGGCGATGGCGGTAAAGCTAATATAAGGCGTCACAGTGCACCCAACTCAAACTTCAAAGTTCAAACACCCACTACCAAGTGAAACGTTGCAGATCGTCACAAGGACTGCAGGCAGAGCAGAGGTACACAACCCCCCCCCCCCCCCCCCCCCCTCTCTCTCTCTCACACACACACACACACACATTAGTGCTTGTTATATATATATATTTTTTTGAGCAACTAGTGCTTGTTATAACTGCTGTAACTCTCATGGGAACCCGCCGGCCCGCCCTGGGTTTCTGGAAAACAAAACAAACAAAACTTTTCATAGATTCAAGGACACTTTGCACGCTGTACGAGAATTCGATAGGATTGTAAGCTTGGCCATAGCTCTAATCATCGCATGAACGCAACGTAGTTGTTGCTCTAGTAACACGCCGCGAAGTTTATACTTCTTTTTTTGCAGGTGTCAATTATATTAAGTGCCTAATGGGGCAGCCCAAACAGCCGGCGAAGCTCGCCATGTTTATAGCACTGCCGTTGCTTCTGCTGTGTTATGAAATAGGGAATATCCGTTGCTCAACTGTTCACGAGAACTGCGAAGATTTTCAGGCATTGGTCGAATTCAAGCAAGGCATCACCGATCCAAAAGGAGTCTTGTACAATTGGAACCCCGACACCCACTTCTGTCAGTGGAATGGTGTGAACTGCAGCTCCGAGCGACCATATAGTGTCGTGTATCTCAGCCTCACTGGCCAAAACTTAGGTGGTCAGATCTCTTCCTCCATTGGAAATCTAACCTTCCTTGGTACGCTTGATCTATCCAATAATAGCTTCCATGGCCCCAGACCTCCTCTTAACAAGCTCCAACACCTGACCACCCTTCATCTAAAAAGCAACCATTTGCAGGGTTTTATTCCTGACACACTCACAAACTGTTCCAACCTAGCCGATCTGGATCTATCCGGAAACAATTTCACTGGTGTTATTCCTCCTAGAATCGGTTCTCTTACCAATCTGGCAAGTATCACCCTTGACAGTAATTATCTCACTGGGGGCATCCCGGCAGCCCTCGGGAACATCACCACTTTACAAGTAGTCAGTTTTACACAAAATCGACTCAATGGAAAAATTCCCCACGAGGTTATGCAAATGCCAAACCTAGCAGGGTTGTACCTAGACCAAAATGACCTATCAGGTGAAATTCCCGAAGTTTAGCAAATGCCAAACATCCTAGACTTGTACCTAGGCATAAATAACCTGTCAGGTAGAATCCCACAAACTCTGTCTAATGTATCTTCTCTTCAGGAGTTATCCTTGACATCCAATATGCTAGGTAACAAGTTACCATCTAACATTGGCGATGCTCTGCCTAATCTCACCATTCTATTCTTGGCAGACAACAATTTCGATGGTCATATTCCAGCTTCCCTAGGAAATCCTAAAGGTCTAGAAAATCTAGATCTCTCCAGTAATCATTTCACTGGACAAATCCCAAGCTCTATTGGAAACCTTTCACAGTTGCAACTTCTAAGCCTCGAAGGAAACATGCTTCAATCATCAACATACAATGAAGGCTGGGAATTCCTCCAAGCCCTGGGAAATTGTAGGTCTCTCTCAGTACTTTCGCTGTCTGATAATAAGCTACAGGGATCCATACCAAATTCAATTGCAAACCTACCCACAAATCTTACGCGTCTGCTAATGGGTGGAAACAGCCTATCAGGAATAGTCCCCCCAAGTATTGGAAAACTGAGCGCCTTGATTCAACTATCGCTTGATGAGAACAATCTTACCGGTAAAATTGAAGAATGGGTTGGAAACTTGACAAAACTACAACATTTAAATCTCCAATCAAACAGGTTCAATGGGACAATTCCACCTTCCATTGGCCATCTTACACAGTTGATATATTTCTCTCTTGCTGAAAATCAATTTACCAGGTTTGTACCACCTAGCTTGGGAAACCTCAAACAAATGTTAGTGTTGAACCTCAGCTATAACACTTTCCAAGGGAGCATACCTGTCGAGTTTGGTAACTTTAGACAACTGACCACACTAGGGCCCTGTTTGGTTGAGTGTACTGTGGGAAAAAAAGTCTTTGTAAATGTGTGGAATGGGAAAAGCTGCTTTGTGAGTGTGAGTGTAGAAAAGCTGAAAGCTGTTTGGTTAAACAAGTATAAAATATACCTTTTATCTTTATCTCTCTTGAAACAACTATGGAAGAGCTTTTTATTCCACCAATTTCGAAAAGCAGAAAGCCAAAAGCCAAAAGCAGGGTCAACCCAGCTTTCAAAAATGAACTACGGAAAAGCAGCTGCTTCTGAAAAAGCACCCTCCAAAAGCAGCCCCTTTGGTTGGGCTTTTGGCAAGCCCAACCAAACAGGGCCTAGATCTTTCATCCAATAGATTTAGTGGGGAAATTCCTGAAACAATGGGCCAATTTCGACAGATATATAATATTCGGTTGGATGGAAATATTCTTACAGGAAATATTCCGATTACTTTCAGTAATCTAAAGACCTTGAGCATACTCAATCTTTCCCACAACAATTTGTCAGGTCTCCTTCCAGTTTATCTAAATGATCTAGAGTCTCTAACAAAACTAGACCTATCTTGCAATAATTTCCGAGGAGAAATACCAGCAAATGGCGTGTTCGATAATGCTACAATTGTTTCACTTGATGGAAATCCAGGATTGTGTGGAGGGGCAACGAATTTGCATATGTCTTCATGCCATGTTGTTTATAGAAGAGAAAAGGAAATCATAAACTATATGGTCAAAATATTGGTCCCAGTATTTGGCTTCATCTCACTCATAATGTTCATTTATATTACAATCCACGGGAAGAAGATGCCAAGAAAGCAACACGTAAGTTTTCTTTCTTTTGGCAAGAAATTCCCTAGAGTTTCTTACAAGGATCTAGAGCAAGATACAGGGAGGTTTTCAAAGTCCAACCTAATTGGAAGAGGAAGCTATGGCTCAGTATACAAAGGGAAGTTAACTCAAGCTAAAATAGAAGTTGCTATTAAGGTTTTTGACCTTGAGATCAGATTTGCAGACAAAAGTTTTGTTTCAGAAGTTAACTCAACAGCGCTCAACCTCATTTTGATCTTAGGATAACTTGTTTGTACTTGTCATGACCAGTTGTTCCAACTCGTATGAGTATGAGTCATAACTTTGATCAAATATATTTAACAAAATATTAATATTTATGGTACATAATTAGTATCATTAGGTAGATCATTGAATATACTTTCATAATAAACTTATTTAGATATATAAATATTTTGAACAAAGAACTCCTAACCAAGAGGTGAGCATCGTCATTGGACCCTCTACTTTCATGCACAAGATTAACCGAGAGGAAATCCTTCGACCTCACAACCTCATTTTGATCTTAGGATAACTTGTTTGTACTTGTCATGACCAGTTGTTCCAACTCGTATAAGTATGAGTCATAAATTCGGGCCATGTAAAAAAGTGGACGAAAAAAACTCTTCGTAATTCGGGTGAAAAATAATAGAATACATTTTTGACCTTTTAACATTAGATATAGATAACCCGTGAGCAAACAGTGCCACACGATACGTTGTGGAAGACCGATCATCACAAGGAACTAAATCAGATTTGGGAACGAAAATCCAGCGCCGGTAGACCATTCCACGAGCTAATTTTTGTCAGCATCGAAACCACACAAGACATGTCGCACATCAGCCCGGAATATCTCTGTCGGTTTCCTGCTGAAAAATACTACCAAAATACTATGGGATTCCAGGCTGGGCACGCCACAACAATCTTGTCCAGCTCAAACAACAACGACGGCGCTATGTTACGGGACGAAAGCTGAAAGGTGGCGGTAACTACTACTAGTCGGTTTGATGGACTCGGAGTCTTCGCTGATGGTCAAGCTAAAGCTAAGGCGCGGGTAGCGCCAATACGCGGATGTAACGTGTTTCATTTTATTTTGGGCCAGTTCTACTATAAAGTTTATCCTCTTTGCTATTATGGATGGAAAATAGAAATAGATATCTGAATTATCTGATATCCGTATCCGCTAAAACTTGTAATTAATATGGATATCCGTATTCGTATCCGTTTATAATATGGATACTAAATGGATATATCCGAAATCTTTTTTCAGTGTTTTTCTCTATCCGAATCCAGATCTGTATTCGACAATATCCGATAGTATATGTATCCGCAAAGAAAACAATGTATCATGAATCTACTTAAAAGTTTTCTCTCCATAATGAGTGACAAATTATTTAATTTTATTATTACTAGTAACACATTGAACCCATTTAATAGTATATCTATAAATATCTTTTAATATTAATTTAAAATTATTAATGATACATAAAGATTAAATTAATTTTATTATTTTCTATTTAATCCTAATATATTTTTTATTTTAAATTATTTTAATACTTTAGTTCATTTATTTATTGGTGCAATTTATTTATATAAATTTGTAATTTCATGATAAATAACTATATAAATATAATATTGATTGCTTAATTGATATATTTATTAAATATTTATTGATAACTATATTATTTTTATGTGCTATGCTTGTTTATGTTATATACACAAATGCTTTAATCTCTACTTCTTGATAATTTTGTAATTCCAATACTATTGATAAAGTAAAATGCCTATTTGTTTTCTACCATTTTTATTTGAATGTCTTCACTTGATATATTATTTTATTCAATATTATCCATTATAATTTAGTTTACTTCGGAGATTATTAGAAGTGTACTTTCATTTAATTCACTTTGGTTAACGATGTACTTAGTAGTGAATTTTTATAAATTTAACAATATACATTTTGAGTTGACTTGAGTAAATACCCGAATAGAAATCCAAATATGAGACACTCGTTTTGTATTCGTATTCGAAAATATCTGAATCCGTATTCTATTTGAATTAAAGTGTGATAAAAAGTGATATCCACATCCGATTCCATGCAAATCCAATTCGTTTCCATCCCTATTTGTTATTGCCGATGAAGTGTTCAACAAAGGTCAATTCTCCTACTTTATTATATTGCCCAGGCTAACGCTAAGGTAAAATACAAAATAAGATAAAAATTATAAAACTTGAGGCTACAAAGAAATCAAACATTTTTGTCATGTAAAAAAATACGAAACACATGACCATATATTCATACACACTAGAGGTCTAAACACTTCTATCTGCAGTATTATAGGAGAAACACGCCGGCGAAACATGAACATAGAAGCCAAAATGTATATGATTCGGCGTTTTTCAGCTCACGAGAGCCTTGTGCAGGTCATGAAACTCTACACGTTTATACAAATGTTGATACTGCTATTTTGTTGTGTCTGTAACGTCTGTTGCTCCACAGTCCCCGATAACAGCACGGATGTGGTCGAGCTGCCCAAGTTCAAGCGGGCCATCACCCACTACCCCAGATCTTAAGTCAGCGTCGGTTCAAAACCCCCTTCACGGACGAATTTTGAACCGACATAACCAAACCGGCAGTGATGGGGTACACATCACTGCCGGTTCTAAAAAAAACAACACTGATGTAGTTTCCAGAAAATCTAAAAAACAGGCTGAAAAATAGACAATTTTTTTATTATCAGGAGAGACCCCACTGGACAGCCACACAGTCACAAGTCATAAGTCACAAGTCACGCAATTTTACAGAATTGGTTGCATGAGTGCAGGGACGAAATTGCAGAATGTAGCCCTTGTGGGATGTTGTAAATTTTTGGAAGTCATTAGTTCGTTTCACTACCCCAGATCTTTACATTTATGTCGGTTCAAAACCCACCTTCACAGCCGTATTTTGAACCGACACAACCAAAGCGGCAGTGATGAGGGGTACACATCAATGCAGGTTCTAAAAAACCGACACTGATATGGTTTCCAAAAAATCTAAAACATGGGCTGAAAAATAAGGATTTTTTTATTATCAGGAGAGACCCCACGGTCGCAAGTCACAGGTCACGCGATTTTACAGAATTGGTTGCATGAGTGTAGGGACGAAATTGCAGAATGTAGCCCTTATGGGGATGCTGTAAATTTTGGAAGTCATTAGTTCGTCACCAGCCATCCAGTAGAGGAAGCCTTGAGTAATTGGAACAGAAGCACCAATACCTGTCAGTGGCAGGGAGTTACATGCAACCCAAAGAACAAGGCCGAGTAACAGCGCTCAACCTAGTATCTTCCGATCCTCACGCAGCCGTCTGCTGCGTGAGGTAGCGCTGCTCGCGCTTGTAAGTCGCAAACTCTGAATTCTTCTTATTAATGCAATGCCGGGTGACCAGATCTTTCAAAAAAAAAAAAAAACAGCGCTCAACCTTGCTGGCCTAGGCTTGTCTGGGGCCATCACCGCCTCTGTAGTAAACCTACTTTTCTTCATACCCTTAACTTGTCCACAAATCGATTCTCTAGTCAGAGACCACCTTTGGGCAATCTCCACAAACTCCAAGTCCTTGATTTGAGCGCAAACTCATTGGAGCGTAATATTCCAGATACAATCACAAACTGTTCCGGCACAAGGGAATTGTGGCATTTTGAAAAACTCCCTTGGTGACGATATAATTCCTCCGAAAAATTGGCCACCTCTCCAATCTTGTAAATTTCAACTTTCACATGAATAATTACACTAGGATCATCCCTCCTTCAGTCCAAAACATTAGTCGCTTAGTCTTGGTACAAATCAACTTAGCGGAATCATACCGGATAGGCTTGGATGAAACCTAGGGGTCCTTTCTCTTTGGAAGCAACCTCTTGGGTGATGTTATTCTAGACGCACTTACAAACTGTTCCAACCTGACCATCCTCGAACTCTCCAAAAATAACCTCACGAGCATTATAACTATTGGGATCAGTTCTCTTACGAAGCTAGTTTACCTTAGCTCTCACATAAATGGTCTCTCATGGAATTCCACCAGGCCTCGGTAGCCTCATCAACTTATCACAACTTAATTTATAAGAAAATCGACTGAACGGGCCAATTCCCACTGAGTTTTGGCAAAGGCCAAACATGCGGGTTGGACCTTAGCTCGAATAATCTATCAGGGAGGATCCAACAAAAGCTCTCTAACACATTGCAATCAAACATTGGTGATGCCCTCCCTGGTCGGGGTGAAAATGGTTGGAAACGGTATTACAATATAGAAAACAAAAACAATCGGTACGGGATTTTTCTACATTTTAGTAATTAATGAGTACAAAAATGTTGAAAATGGTTGTGACACCAATTGAAAATGGCAAATTTCTATGTTTGGCTAAATTCGAAAACGCTATCATAATATTGAAAACAAATACGGTCAGTACAGGATCTATCCCGTTCACTTTCATCCCTACTCCCTGGTATCAACACTTATACCTAGGAATAAATATGTATGAGGGCACCATTCTAGCTTCCCTAGGCAATGCTTCAGGTCTAATAAAATTAGCAGCCTGTTCGTTTGGCTGTGGTTTGTCGTAAACGATCGTAAATTTTCAGCCGGAACAGTATTTTTCTCTCACACAAACCGGCCAACAGTACTTCTTCACGAACCAGCAACGATACGAACCAGCCAACCGAACAGACTGTAGATCTATCTAATAATAGGTTCAGTGGCCAAATCCCAAGCATATTCAGAAAACTTTCAGGGTTGTCTATTCTTAACCTTGAAAGTGACATGTTTGAAGCAAGCGAAAGTGTGGGTTGGGAGTTCTTCCAGGGCCTAAGAAATTGTGGATCTTTAGAGGTTCCTGTCGTTGTCTAATAATCATCTCCAAGGTTTCATACCAAATTCGGTTGCTAACCTATCCACAAAACTCATAAAACTAATAATGGGTGCTGGAAACTATCTACCAGGAATAGTCCCCAAGGCATTGGAAACCTTAGTAGATTAGCCGAACTCGCACTTGATGCTAACAATCTTACTGGTACAACTGAAGAATGGACAAGAAAGCTGACAAAACTATAAAGTTCATACCTCCATATACCACCTAGCTTGGGAAACCCCAAACCAATGTTGATGTTGAATCTAACATATAACAATTTCCAAGGGATCATACCTGTTGAGTTTGGTAACTTAAGACAATTTACCAAACTAGATCTTTCACCAAACAAATTTAGTGGAGAAATTCTAGAAATGGGTTAATTTCAACAAATAGATACCACTCGAACGGACCAAAATGTTCTTACAGGAAATACTCCAATAACCTTCAGCAATCTAAAGAGCTCGAGCATTCCATAACAAATTTGTCAGCCCCAATCCCAGCTTGTCTAAAAGATCTAGTCTCTCTCACTAAACTAGATCTACCTTTCAATGGTTTCCAAGGTGAAATACCAAGAAATGGTGTATATTATATTCAATAATGCGACAATTGTTTCACTCAATGGCAACCCAGGCCTGTGTAGAGGAGCCATGGATTAGCATGAGCCTTCATGCCATGTTGTTTATAGAAGAAAAGTAGGAATCATAAACTACGTAGTCAAAATGTTGTTATAGAAGAAAAATAGGATTCAATTTTTCATATGGAACGGTGGGTTCCGGCGTTGCTTGTGCCACATTCAGCAGCAGCATTGCGTGGAGAGATAGAGTGAAAACTAAAAATACCGTACCACTCAAAGCAAGATAGAGTTTTTTTCCCTGCGAACTGCCGGGTTAGATAACTTGTTAATGGTGGAACATGTCCATCTTTAATAGTATCTTTCACTCATAATGATGTATGTTGATGATTTAGATGCAAATTATAGGGTTACTTTGCATTATCTTTTATAATAATAAAGATAGATAATTTATATATAAATTTATGAATTATTTTAAATTATCTTCAATAATGACTAAGGTGGTTAACTTAGATCCAAATTTGAAGGGATTATTTTAAAATTATCTTTCGTAATGGTAGGGATGAGTAATTTAGATAAAAAATTAGAGGACTACTACATGTATTTTTATTTTCTATAATTGGAGAGATAGGCATTGTTTTTTATAAAACACAATAGATACAATCGCTATTATTAGTGATACTGACCCGATTGAGGAAATTTTAAGAATTTGTATCTTTTTCTGCCGTGTTTCATGAAGTTAACGTGGACAATCTTTTGGACCCTCTAATTACTGTATACTAGATACAAATTGACTTGACCCACTACCATGTCGAATATAAGCTATGAAAAAATCACGCCCACACGATTCATTCTCGAAGGCATGACAAGAGCCAAAATCGGAGCTGGAAATGAAAATCCAGCACCGATAGACCATTCCACGCCCTGAGTTTTGTTTTGTGAGCACCACATACTGTTGGTCCTAGTCCTGGGTCGCACATCAGCGCAAAATATCTTTGTCCGGTTACGCCATGTTCACTTGAACTTATCAGCCGTACCGTTTCAGCCAGAGTGTTTTTCTCTCGTAACAAATCAGCCATACAAATCAGCCAGAGCCAAAATAAGTCCTGCTGAAAGCTATGGGGTTCGACTATTCGAGGCTGCACACAACCCAACAAGGCAACAAGCAACAATCGTGTCTAGCTCACACAGCGACAGCCACGCTATGGAATGGGATGGAAGCGGAAAAGTGGCGGTTATGGACGAGTTTGATGGACTTGGGTCTTCGCTGAAACGGCGGTCAAGCTAAGCTAAGGAAGGCGTCAGCGTCACAATGTGTGGGTGTTGTGGTGCCGTAAAACTGTTTTTAAACCCCGGGGACCTCAGCCAGCTGAGCATCCAGCTCAAACTTCACAGATCAAACATCGGTTCGAGGCAAGAACAAAGCAGAAGAACGAGGCTGCTCTGGTGTGTCCTCTCTCCTCTGTTCTCCGGCACAGCCACAACACAGGTACCCTGTCCTACCCTATTCTCTCTCTCATCCCCTCTTAGTCCTCTGTCAGGCATGATAGTAGTACTTATTTCTGGGAATCAAGTGTGAAATTCGTCAAAATTTAACCTTTCTTCTGTTGGCTTGATTCTAACAATAAAATAGAGCATTTCCATGAAAAAAAAACATATTAGAAATATCGTTCGGTGACACAAGAAGATTGCAAGCTTGCTCAAACATCTGCTTACAGCATGGAAGCGACATAGTTCCTCAAGTTTGAGCACGTAAACATAATATGCCTCGAAGTTTATGCTTTATGTTTTGCAGGTGGCAGTAAGGTGCATCATGTGTCCTTCCAAGAAGCAGGCGAGACTCGCCATTCCCATCCTTACACTATTGACGTTGCTGCTGCTGTGCTACGGAGTTGGAAACGTCCATTGCTCAACCATTCATGAGAACAGAGTAGATCTGCAGGCACTGCTCGATTTCAAGCATGGCGTTATGGACCCATCTGGAGCCTTGAGCAATTGGACTTTGAATTCCCACTTTTGTCGGTGGAATGGTGTCGAGTGCACCACGACACCACCATTCCGCGTCCACGGACTCCAACTCACCGGCCAAAGTTTGTCCGGCCAAATCAGCTCCTCTCTTGGCGACCTTACCTTCCTTAATTATCTTGACCTCTCCAATAATAACTTTGTCGGTCCCTTACCTCTTCTTGGCCGCCTCCAACAACTGCAGATACTTTATTTGTACAACAACAATTTGTCTGAGATCATTCCTGATGACCTTACCAACTGCTCCAACTTGACCGCCTTAGGTTTATCTTCAAACTTGCTAGTGGGTTCCATTCCTCCGAAATTAGGCTTACTAGCAAATCTAGTATATCTCAATTTGCGATCAAATCAACTCGAGGGAAGCATTCCTGGTGAGCTTGGCCAATTAAAGTTAACTACCTTGATCCTAGGTGACAATAGGCTTTCAGGTGAAATCCCCAAAGCCTTCTTTCGTCTTTTTTCACTACAACATCTAAGTCTAGAATTCAATATGCTAGGCAAGGCATTGCCATCCAACATAGGAGAACTTCTCCCTAATCTCAAAGAGCTTACGTTGGAAAACAACATGTTCGAAGGTCCCATCCCAGCTTCCCTAGGCAATAACGCTCTAGGGTTACAAATGATAGATTTATCATCTAATAATTTCACAGGGCAGATTCCTACTTCTTTGGGAAAACTTTCAAATTTGACTTTCCTAAACCTTCAGTATAACCAGCTTGTAGCAAGAAACAACCAGGACTGGGAATTTTTAAACTCGTTAAGAAATTGTAGATCTCTCGAGTCACTCTCACTTGCTTACAATGAGCTGCAGGGATCACTTCCACCGTCAATCGGTAACCTATCCACCAGCCTTCGCAAGCTTCTGTTGGGTGGAAACAGCTTGTCTGGGCAAGTTCCACAGAGTATAGGTAAACTTAGTGCCTTAAGTTGGCTGGGACTAGGTAACAACAATTTTATTGGTACAACTGAAGGATGGATTGAAAATTTAAAAAACCTACAAAGACTATTTCTGAAATGGAACAACTTCGCTGGGCCAATCCCCTACTCAATTAGCAATCTTACTCAGCTGGCAATCCTTGACCTACGAGGAAATGAATTTGACGGTCCCATACCAGCCAGTTTGGGAAATCTTTCTAGACTACAACAGTTGTACCTTAGCAATAACAATCTGCAGGGTGCCATACCTCCAAACTTCGGAAACATTCAAGGACTCACACTGTTGGACCTTAGCCATAACAATCTACAGGGTGCCATACCTCCTATACCTTCAGAGTTTAGTAATCTTCCACAACTCACCGAACTACGTCTGTCGTCCAACAGAATTTTTGGAGAAATCCCTACCAATTTAAGTGAATGTCAAGAGTTGAGTGTCATCGAATTGGACCAGAATATTCTCACAGGAAGCATTCCGTTGTCTTTAGGAAACTTGGCGACTTTGAACATCCTCAATCTTTCCCACAACAATTTTTCAGGCTTCATCCCAACAACTTTAAGTAGTTTGGAGCTTCTCGCTCACCTAGATCTATCTTATAATCATCTCCAAGGAGAAATACCAATAAATGGAGTATTTGCAAACGCAACAGCTGTTTCACTTAATGGCAACTGGGGGCTTTGTGGAGGAGTGAAAGATCTCCATATGCCTTCATGCCCTGCAGTTTCTCGGAGTATAGAACTGAAACTCTATCTCACTATCTTATTGATTTTGATATTTGGCTTCGTGTCATTTGTGATGTCAGTTTATGTCATACTCCTTAAGAAGAAGAAATCAAGAAGGCCATACTTAATATTGCGTTCTTTTGGTAAGAAATTTCCTAGAGTTTCTTACAAGGATCTAGCTCAAGCTAGAGGGAACTTCTCCGAGTCCAACCTTATTGGCAGAGGAAGCTATGGTTCAGTATATAGAGGGAAGTTAACTCAAGCAAAAAAGCAAGTGGCTGTTAAGGTTTTTGACCTTGGCATGAAATTTGCAGACAGAAGCTTCATATCAGAATGTGAGGCTTTGGGAATCATTCGGCATCGGAACCTTCTTCCTATACTGACTTCATGCTCAACTATAGACAACAGAGGCAATGATTTCAAAGCTCTAATATATGAGTTCATGCACAATGGGAGTTTAGATACATGGTTGCATCAAAAACGTTATAGTGTATCTGCAAAACTTTTGGGCTTAGCTCAAAGAATAAGCATAGCTATTGACATAGCCAATGCATTGGTCTATTTGCACCATGACTGTGAAAGGCGTATTGTCCACTGTGATCTGAAACCAACCAATATCCTTCTTGATGACAATATGAATGCCTGTATAGGAGACTTTGGCATTGCAAATCTACTTGGATATTCTAGTTCCAGTAGTTCAGTCGCTGTGACAGGAACTGTCGGATATATCCCTCCAGGTAAAGATCATTCCCATATCCTTTCTCTGTAGTACCAATTGACCTGTTATACCCATGAACATCCACACTCTGCACCATATTAAACAATGATTTTTTATCTGTGTTTCTAGAGTATGCTCAAAGCGTTCATGCATCAACCAGTGGGGATGTCTACAGTTTTGGAATAGTACTTCTAGAGATGCTGATAGGCAAACAACCAACCGACTCTATGTTCGAGGGTGAACTCAACATTGTTCGCTTTGTAGAGAAACTTCCCAGATCAAATGTTACGTATCATTGAGGGCCTGTTTGGATTGGAGTATTTGTAAAGGAATTTTGAAGGAATGACAATCCTTTGGTTTGGTGACGTCACACGTCGTTTGGAACGTAGGAATGCTCCTTCCGGTTCCTCAGGAAGGGCTCCCTTTGCTTCACAAAATACAGGAATTTAAACCTCCACTCTCTATCCATTTTTTTGCTGAAGTCCGAGGCGCACGCAACAATGTGTGTGAGAGAGAAAGCAGCTTTGGGGAAAGGACAAAGACTGCATAGGAGATAACGATGGGAGTAATGATTCAAACAATCCAAACACCTCAAAGTATTAATTCCTGTGTTTTAGAATCCCGTAGTTTTTCACTTTTCACTCTACTCTATTCCTGCGGGTTTTTTTATTCCTCCGTTTTCCATTCTTTTGTTCCAAACAGGCCCTGATACTTGTCTCCAAGAAGAATGCAAAGGCTTTATTCAAGCAACAGTGGACACAGAAAATGAGGCCCGTCGATGCTTGTTGTCCCTCGTGCAAGTTGCTATTTCTTGCACGCGTCTATTACCAAGAGAACGGATGAATATAAGAGAAGTAGCTGCTTACTTACACTCTATCGGAAGGTCATATGTTGCAGCAATTAAGCAAGAGCAAGCCATGCTTTGCTAGGACCAATGTAGTTGTCTTAGGTTGTTTTTTAATGCGATAGGTATGAGGATAGTAAATTAGCCTTGTACATCGAAATTGATGAATAACACTGGCAGAAAATTGTGTATTGGGCAGGGAAGTTATGAGCTAGTACTAGTTCATACACACATTTGGTTTAACATTTAAATTCTGATTTTAGTAAAGCATCAATGATTTGGCGAAGTGTCTTTCAACTACATGGACGAGCTTCTCTTGTGTGACTGGGGGTACTCGGTGACAATTTTATACAAGGATTAGCAGATATAATCTCCAGATCAGACTGAATATATGTAACCACAGTCCACAGTACCACACTGCTAATCTAACTGGACAGCTTATCCAAACACCAAATTTCAATTGCCCCCAACCCCTACCACTCCACAAAGTACGAAAGAAACGAGATGCTTCGCATACCTTTGGAAATTCGGATGTGGCGGCGTGCTGCCGTGCTGGGTCTTGGCGTCTTCCACGCATTCAACAACGAACCGCCGTTGCTGGGGCGGTTATGCAATCCGTGCTAGTGCTACAAAAGTAATTATGCCCCCTACGCCATTCTCTGCTCCAATTTCCTCGCAGCCCACAAGGCCACAACGCGCGATGGCGTAGCATTCCTTGTCTCCAGCATCTTCTACCGCCACAGAAGTCGCCGCGCTCACCAGGCTTCGCCAGAGACGCCATATTGACGCTCCCGCGCCCGGCGGCGCCCTGCCACCTAGTCGCCCCACCCAATCCCTCTATGCCTGTGCCTCGCGAGTGTATCCCTTCCCCAAAATCCCTAACCCCTAGGCCATACTCCTACCCGGCAGCCGCGCGACGGTGGCACGTGGACGGCAGCGCCAGCGCGTTTCGGGAGGAGGAAGGAGACGAGGTGTGCTCGTGGGCCGTCGCGTCCTGCCGTCTGTGCGGGCCGAATTCGGCGAGCAGCTCATCTAGTGGGCCGAAGTTAGTCTGAACTGAACTCTCTCGGAAGCCCGCTCGTACAGAATGTTCCTCGAGTTTTCCCTCGTTCGTGCTTCGATAATGATTAGATCCGGTCCGGACCAACCCGATCGCGCCGTCGCCCGTATCGCGCGCCTCTGTCACATTCTATCTCGCCGCGACGAGAGATGCGGTGGTGGTGGGGACTCTGGCGCTGGTACGCGGAGTCGATATGGTCGATGGTGTGGCAACAACGCACGTGTCTCCGGTGAACTCCACACGTTGATAAGCCTCCATTTCGTAAGCAGTAGATATTGCGCTCGAAAGCGCACTAGCAAGCGTCAAGCGTTTACAGATGTTTCAGAGTTATGTTGTAAGTGTTTCATATGAATATTGTAAAATTAGATCAGTGTCGGTGTTTCGGACCGGGGGTCCTCAACCAACCAGTAAATGTGAACTGCGTGCCCCTAATCCCGGATGGTGATGAAAAGAGACACAAGGTTTATACTGGTTCAGGCAATCGGTGCCCTACGTCCAGTCGGAGAGATCGATCTTGTATTCTTTGCACCGAAGTACTTGTAGTAGGGGGTTACAAGATGGGTGAGAGAGGGAGCTGGTCCCAGGTCCCGGCGTGGAGCGATACGGGCTGCTTGAGACGTTGCTCTTAGGCAGCTTGGGAGCGTGGTTCTATCGTATGTTCTTCCCTTCTTTTTCCCTCCCGAGCTATCCCTGGCTGCTTCCTTTTATAACCGCAAGGAGGGAGTCAGGAGTACATGAGCGAGCTACACGTGGAGCCTACTGTAGTTCAGTCCTGTAGCAGCATGGCGCTGGGAATGGAGATCGGTACTTGACTGGCGCGTCATGCTGGCCAGGTTTGAAGTTGTTGAGGTCGTGGGTATCCTTGTCGATGTCTAGTCAGTATGGCCTCCATGGCCGGAGACATGCCATGCCTGGTGGACTCTTGTCCTGGTGAAGTGCCGAGGCCTAGCGGGCGCTGGAGCTGATCGCGCTGAGGCCATCTTTGCCGAGGCCACGGAGGTGACCTGTGTACGACACGGGGGTCTCGGTGGTCTGTGTCGTACCCGGTTCCGATGGAAAAGTGCGGAATGGGCGTCCGCGGGGCGCTGTAGTCTCCGCACCGTCAGTAGGGGATGGTAAAAAGATGATTTGACCGCCGTCCCATTGCCCCTGTTGCTATACCCTATCAATCGTGGCTGACGTAGGTGTAACCAGGGGTACTTACACGGATGGGACGGCCCGCCAGAGGGGCAGTTGAGGCGGAGACGACGAGGATGCGGGATGAGCCCGGCCTCGGCCGAGGCGGAGAGGGAACAGTACGTCTGAGGCCCTGCCGAGGGTCTCGGACGAGGCAGAGAACGAGCAGTTGGGCTCTCCTGCTGTTTCTGAGACTACAGGGACATGAACTTGACCTTCCATGCTGCTTTGTCCTTGGCGCAGGGGTTAGGTAGCAAAGGGCAGTATGGGTGTCGAGGGAGCACTGATGGTGAGCACAATGTGGCGAGTAACCCTCGCTGCGCCCGTCCCCTATCCGTCGGGTTGTCCCGCCCGCATTGCACTGTAATGCGGCCGACGTTTGTAGAGTGGTTGGACGCATTAATCCGGACGTGACGTTTTGTCAGAGGAGTTCGGTCGGGACGGAGGTTACGAGTATGTTTGCCGAGCCCGGCCTCGAGCGAATCGGAGAATTGGCATCCTATCCGAGGCCTTTCGGGGCGGGGCCTCGGCGAGAGGGTCTCGGCGAGAGGACCTCGGCGGGGCGCTTTTGGCCTTTTGCATGAGGCCTCGGCGCAAGGCCTCGGGCGAATCGAAGAATTCTGCTGAGACCTTGCGGTGGTCTTTTGGCTTTGATTTTTGCAAGGTTTAAGCGATATTTTTGGTTCTTGCTTAGGGTACCCCTTCTTGTGGTATCCGACAGTAGCCCCCGAGCCTCGAGAGGAGTGCGGGCACTCTCCTGAGGTTTTGACGAGACTTGGTTCACAACAGCCCCTGTCGGGATCGTGTTTTGTACTTGGTGGTTCTGGTGGGTGCGCGCGAGCGCACCCGCCGGGTGTAGCCCCTGAGGCCCTGGAAGAGTGGGTTTACTCCTTCAGGGGCTTTTTTCTCCGTTGAGCAAGGAGTTTTATCGTGCTTGCCGGGCCCGTGAATGCGAGTTCGGGTTGCTGGGACTTGGCCTAGTTGCAGGAAGAACCCCCGAGTCCCCGCACGGAGCGAGAGGGTGATCAGTGGTTTCCTTGTCTTTTTTGACGGCCCTCACGCATCCTTTTCGCTCGGAAGGAGGGGTTTGTTTGCCGAGCCCCCTCGAGTGCGAGCCTAGGTTGCTGGATCTCGGCAAGTTTTGCAGGGGGAGCCCCCGAGCCTCCGCACGGAGCGAGAGGGCGGTCAGGAGTTCCCCTAGCTTTTTATGCGACCCTCGCGCATCCTTTTCACTCGGAAGGAGGGGTGGAATATGCCAGGCTACCCTCGGTGGGCGCGAGCAGTGGTACTTCCGGTGAGCTGCTATCGGGTAAGTCCGAGTGGAGGCCCGTGCCCCATTCGATAGGGGTCGGCTAGTGGTCCAGAGACGCACTCCAAAAGTACCAGAGGGCTTCTCTAGTGGGTCCTAGGGCCGTTCGATTGGCTCCGGGGGCTCGGCGCCTCCCTACGGTGGGATCCCATTCGGAGAACTCCCTGCTGGCCTCGGACACGACTTAGGGCATCCCGAGCGATTGCTTGCTCGGGCCTTGGCCATGTACGGGCTCGCCCATAGCTGTCCCTGACTCTGTTGTCCTGGGGCGGCTGTCGAAACCCTCGGGGGTCCAGCCTTCGAACCCCTGGACCGTAACGGGCTCGGTGCCCTTTTTGTCGAGTTTTTTCGAATCTCTGAGTGCGAGCTTAGGTGGCTTGCTTTTGTCTTGGGTGCGGGAAGAGCCCCCGAGCCTCCGCACGGAGCGAGAGGGCGCTCAGGAGTTCCCCCGGCTTCTTATGCGACCCTCGCGCATCCTTTTCACTCGGAAGGAGGGGTTTGTTTGCCGAGCCCCTCGAGCGTGAGCCTAGGTCGCTGGGTCTCGACAAGGTTTGCAGGAAGAGCCCCCGAGCCTCCGCACAGAGCGAGAGGGCGGTCAGGAGTTCCCCTAGCTTCTTATGCGACCCTCGCGCATCCTTTTCGCTCGAAAGGAGGGGTTTGTTTGCCGAGCCCCCTCGAGCGCGAGCCTAGGTCGCTGGGTCTCGGCAAGGTTTGCAGAAAGAGCCCTCGAGCCTCCGCACGTAGCGAGAGGGCGGTCAGGAGTTCCCCTGGCTTCTTATGCGACCCTCGCGCATCCTTTTCGTTCAGAAGGAGGGGTTTGTTTGCCGAGCCCCCTCAAGCGCGAGCCTAGGTCGCTGGGTCTCGGCAAGGTTTGTAGGAAGAGCCCCCGAGCCTCCACACGGAGCGAGAG